CAATTTGGCCCACTGCCTGTTTCCAGTTTTACTGGAACACATCCATACTCATTGGTTTGCTATGGCTACTTTCATGTTACAATGGCAGTTCAGTAGTTGTGATGTAATATGGCCCATAAAGCCTAAAATATTTACTATTTGACTCTTTACAGGAAAAAGAAAATGGCCAATTTCAAACTAGGTTTTAAAAAATAGAAAAGTAAACTGATTTAAAAAAGGATGCCCCAAGGGCCGGCCGAGTGGCGCGTTGGTTAAGAGCTGGCTTGGGACACCAGAGGGCCCCAGTTCGGATCCCACATATGAGGGCCAGTGACACTGCCCTCCACAGCTAAGATGCTGAACAACAGCTCGACCTGGAGCTGGGCTGCCTGAGTCGCCGGCAATGGCTTAGGCTGTAGCCCCTGCTGCAGTGGGTTGCCATGGGTTACCGTGTGTAGCCAGCAGCCAGCGTGAGCGGCCAGCAGCCGCAGTGAGCGGCCGTCCAGAAGCCGGCGACTGATCTGCCTCGCCCGGGAAGAGCGCAATGATGGTGCCAACTTGGGACAATGAAGCAACGTCCTCCACAACTAGACTGAGAACAAAAGGACAGCAACTTGTCTGTTCCCCTTCCCTCAATTCCCCAGCGCTGTTTCTATCCCCGAATTCCCAATAAAAATCTTAAAAAAAAAAAAAGGATGCCCCAAGGGAATTGAAAACACATGTCCACACAAAAACTTACACATTAATGTTCACAGAAGCACTGTTCACAATAGCGAAAAAGTAGAAACAACCCAACCCAACTGTCACTCAACTGATGAATAAACAAAATGTGATAGATCCTTGCAATGGAACATTGCTTACCCAGGAAAAGGAACGAAGTAGTGATAAATGCCACAACACAGGTGAACTTTGGAAACACTATTCTAAGTGAAAGGAGCCAGACACAAAAGGCCACACATGTTTTATGATTCCATTTATATGAAATGCCCAGAACAGGCAAATTCGTAGAGACAGGAAGTAGATTAGTGGTTTCCAGGGGCTAGGAGGAAGGACCAATGGAGAGTGACTGCAAATGGGTACCAAGTGTCTTTTGGGAGTGAGGAAAATGTTCTAGAATTAGACAGTGGTGATGGTTGCACAGCTCTTCAAATTACTGAAAACAAATGAACTATACACCCCCACCAAGTACAGGGCAGGGCATTCCACAGTCCGGTAGGGCCTCAGCACCTAGGAATGAATGTCCCCTCCACCACTTCAAACCAGGATCAGATCTGGCCTGGGAGTCAGACCAAGTTCTACATCCCAATTGTCCCAAACATCCATGTGACCTTGGATATGTTTCTTTCCTTATGATCCTAATTTTCTTCTCTGTATTATGGGTGCTATTGGACAGGGAGGGAGAAGGCTGGTGTAACAAGGCGTGAGAGGTGAATTAGGGGGCCTGACTTCCCAGATTCTTTTTTCTTTTTTCTTTTTTTTTTTTAAAGATTTTATTGGGGAATTGGGGGAGGGGAACAGACAAGTTGGTGTCCTTTTGTTCTTCAGTCTAGTTGTGGAAGATGTTGCTTCACTGGCCCATGTTGGTATTATCATTGCACTCTTCCTGGCTGAGGCAGTCGCTCGCCGGCCATTGGACAGCCACTCACAGAGGCTCATGGCAGCTCACAAAAGCTCACGCCAGCTGCCAGCCAGCCCCACTGCAGCCTACACCGTCGCCGGCGACTCACGGCAGCCCAGCTCCAGGTCGAGCTGTTGTTCAGCATCTTAGCTGTAGAGGGCGCAGTGCCACTGGCCCTCATGTGGAATCCGAACCGGGGCCTTGCTGCTCAGAGCTGGAGTCCCAAGCCAACCCTTAACCAACGCGCCACTCGGCCGGCACCCACCCACACCCCAGCCCCAGATTCTTTATTCTTTCCTCAAGCTTCATTATTGACCTTAATCAGTGTCTTCGTCACCATCATTTTCCAATTTCAAAGCACATGCTGTCATTTCGTCCTCATAACCACTCTTTAGGGTAGATAGGTGTCCTTATTTTATAGATGAAGAAAACTGAGCCTCAGAGGGGTCAAATGACTTGCCCAAATTCATACACTAGGTAAGTGTCGGAGCTGGGACTCAACCCCAGGTCTTCTGATTCTAGGTCCTGTGTTCTGCCCACTCCACTACAGTTTTTGCATGTTTGGCCTCTCTCTGGAAAGCCCAAGACAGCAATGTCCAGCAGCCTCACCACTATACAACTTTGTTTTGACAGAGCAAGGGAGGAGAGGCACAGGGACCTGAAGTTCTCGTTTATCTTTTCTTCTGAACCTCTGTATTGGCACAGCAGTAGACTGCATAGGAGTATGCATGTCTATTGGTGTGGACATCAACCCCACTGCATCACAAAGATATACACACAGGTTCTCTAGACCTCAACAAGTGATAGGTCATTCCTTGTTACCATGGTGTTGAGGAGGATGTACCTTTAGTTCAGGGGAGATCTAAGAGGTCAAAATTGAGAGTCTGCTTTTTCTCAAGTCCAGAAAAGGCTCGTCACCCCTCTCATGAGACCTCAAAGAGGAAGGGGCAGCTCCTCATTCCTTAGATGGAAGTGAGAAGGGGAGGGACAGGGAATTGTCCTTATTGCCCTTCTAAAGCAGAGCCCAGGAAAGGGAACATCACTAAAACCAGGGATTTACTCCTAAGCTCAGAGAGCTGGGTCTAAATCTCAAGGAGTATCAGGGAGACCACTCCTATTAAACCTACTTCAGTCCTTATGAGTCAATGCCTGGCTCTCGTGCTACCAGCTACGTGGGCTTTGGCAAGTCACTCACCCTCTCTGAGTGTTTATCCAAAAACATGGCTGATGACTGCTGGGTCTAGTTCAGAGGGGTACTTGGAGATTTTAGTGACATAAACTGAAATGCTTTAAAAAAAAAAAAGTATTTTATACTCCTTCAATCTTCCATAGCTGGCAAGGGAGAAGGGTTGAGGCTTCAACACACTTGGGGAGTGACCCACTCCTTTCTAAGCAGCAGGAAATACACAGGGCTTGGGGCAGCAAGGAGGGGTGAGGCCAAAGGCAGAAGTCTCCAAGGCCAAGCTGTCCTGGGGCAGAGGGGCTGCCCATGCTTGCTTCCACTTTTTCATTTGACCAGTTGACATTTATCGAGCATATCCTACAGGACAGGTGCTTGAAGATAAAGCAGTGACAGAAAATGGCTCTATTTTCACAGAGCTTATATTCTAGTCGTGGGAAACAAGTAAACCAACAAACATGTCAAGCGTTGGCAGGTGCTGTGAATTAAACTGGGTAAGGTTAAGTGATTGGGGAGAGGTGCTATTTCATATAGAATGTCAGCAGGCCCCTCTGATGAGAGGATGTTGAAGCAAAGAACTGAAGGAAATAAGGGGATAGTTTAGGGAACAGCTACACTTAGGTCTAGGCTGCAGGACACTGGAGTTCTGGGGAGAGACAGACATGTTGCCCATGGCAACAATTTCCTACCACGCTGGTTTGGTTTGCCCCCCTTACATTCATTCTTCAGTCTTCTTTCCTACTCTGTTCCCTGGGGGTAGGAGAGCTGACCCCTACCAGCTGCATCCCTGGGTCAGTACTACCATCTATTTTTCAGTTAGGCTCAGCCAAAAGGAGGCCCTGGAGGATTGGAGAACAGGATATGAGAGGTGGGACACTGGTGCTACCACTCTCTCTGCCTGGCCAGTTCTGACAATGGCTGCATTCCCATGTCCACAGCCCCTCTGTCACCCATCTTCCTTCCCATCCTTCCTCTCCTGGGTCCTCCACGAAGCCTTCCAGATGAGCACTACATACCTATCTGTGCAGGAACATGTTGTCCATAGATGCCACCTGGACTGCCTCTCCCATCGGGCAGAAGAGGATGCGTTTTAGCCCTAGACTCGCCCAACACAGACAAAATGTGGACCGTGGCCTCACTCTCCTCCAAGGCTCCAGCTCTGTCCAATTACTTATGACAGCAAAGGCAGAACAGAAGTTGAGGATCTAAAGTCCCTTTGTCTTATTCCTTTATGACCTTATTCCCTTAGGAAAAAAGCCTCCTTTCCAAGATCCAACCCACCAACTTCCTATGTTAAGGAACCCTATCAAGCTACCTCCAACAACCAATAGCTCATTGCCCAGTTCATTTCCTTGATAGTACACTTATCACTACGGGAAAAAGCTCATCAATGCGTGTATGTGCTCTACCCATTCAAACATACCTGCCATGGAAGCACAGAATTTGGCTATCTCGTGTGAACAGCATCCTAGCCCCAAGGACACAAGCTCAGTACATGTTTCTGAGTGAATAACTGACGACAGAAATGAGTACAAAACACCTCTGCTCCCCAACAGCTCCACAAGGATGTAGCCGTAGGTCCAGACACCAGCAGCTTAGGATCAGGTATGGGCAGGAGTGTCTCAGTACTACTGACTTCACCAGGTGTGTGGGGGCAGGAGCTCCCAAGTGGGACCACCAGGACAACCCAGGAGTCAGAGAACCACTCAGTTTCCACCAAGAATTTCCATCTTTGTGAAGAACCCCAGCTTTCCCATTTCTGAGTAGCGAGAGCTTAGGACTTAGCTAATAGCCAGTCTCCAGGCCTAAGTGAAGTCTAGAATGAGAAGTGTGGGAGCTACGAGCTTTGGCCAAAGGTTCTAAGCTAAGCTCATTTAGGTCCAGGACGGCAGCTGCAAACTGCCGTCCTGGATCTGGAAACTGGACCCGGAACTGGGAATTGAGAAGGCAGCATCTGCTATACTGAAGGCCCAAAATGTGGCTCACCTGGCAATCTCTACCAAGGGACCCAAGAAATTTTGTGGGTGAGTGCTGCTAGTTAAATTTTCCCCCAAGCCTAGGGCCTACAACTAAAACCTGATTCAGGCCAATCAGTATCTCTCTGCCTGGTCTTATCTCTTCAGCCCCTATTCTACTCCTCCCTTAATACCCTCCACCCCACCCACGTGTGGCACCACTGCCACTTGACCGACCCCTTTAGCCCCAAAGAAACCCAAACAGCTATGAAGTGCATCAATCAACCTTTAATGTCCAAAAGAGGCATGGATGCAGAGCATAGGAGATGTGGCAGGGTCTCAGCCCCTGCTCCAGAAATGAGGGAGAAATGAACACAAACCAGACATTTCCAACTGGCCACACAAGTCTGGGAGGGCAGGGGAACACAGATTTTGACATTCATAAAAGGGTTTGATACAGGGAACTCACTCACCATCCCAGTCCCCACCCTCCCCTGTCAGTGTCAAAAAGAAAGCTCAACATACACTAAAGGCTTGGGGAGGGGACTTTCTCCTGCCTCCCCACCAGCCCCAAAGATGGAGTTGAAAAAAAAAAAGAATGAGCTGGATCCCAAATGCCCTCAGTGTCAACCACACACATGAGAGTTTTTAATGCAATTTACAAGAATCAGCAGCTCAATCAGCAATGACTCCCCCCACCCTTACCCCCACCCCATCCCTGTTTGATTTGATCAACAGACAAGATTTCCCCAGCACTCTCCTTGGAATCTCCTCCCACTAGCGGCCCTGCTCCATCTCCTGATACCTGGCTTCATCACTGCAAGCCTGACCTCCAAAGTTCCTCCCAAGCCCCTCACTGCCCTTTATCACTTCCTCCTTACCTCCTATAAGAGGCTGCAACTGTCCACAAAGTCACTTTGCCTCTCCACTGAGAGCCAACTCCAGGGCAGATGGCAGCATGACCATCTCACTGCGGGCTATCCTCCTAAAGCCTTCCTGGGAACAAACAGCCATAGGACAAGCAGAGTGTCTGGGCAAGATGGCTGAGGGGGATGACACCTGTCTTCACCCCCAAATCAGACATTCCCCAGAGGTTTTTAACAGAAAGGCCCATTTAAAACTAACTGTGCACCCTACCTACCAATACACCCTAGAGATTCCACACCATCCTGCCCCTCCCTCCCCTCTACCCCAAACCAAGGCACACACACATACACACACACACAAACACACACATACACACAGGAGAATCAAGGGAGACATTGATTTGGTTTGATTGCTAAGACCTAACTAAGGAACTACAGTCACCAGAAATTCCCTTGCCAGCCAACTAACGGGCTGCTCTAAGAGAACTCCAGAGGAATGAGAAAACCGAGGGCTAAGCAGGGAGCACACAAAAGTACAGAAGAATGAATGAAAAGAAAAAAAAAAAAATCAAGCTACTCCAACCTCAACATACTCCTAGCATGAGCTCTGGCAGGAAGAATAAAAGGTAATCCACAAAGACACTGCCATTACTTAGAAACTCTTCTGACAAAGACAGCAAGACAAATCTGCTCCCCACTCCCACACACCAAAGACAAACACGTCTCAGGGCCCCTTAAAGAACCACCCCGCCCCAACCCCACCCTCTGCCCCAAGCCGTGGAATCACAGTTCAGTGGAATATTCTCCCTGGTACTAGATCAATCCCCCTACCCTCCTTCCTATCCATCTCCTTGCCAATCCTAGCATTGTCCCCCCCGCAGCCTCCCCGGCCTTTCCAAGCAGCATCCACCACCAGGAAGAGGCAGCTGCACAGTTTTAGTTCCACCTCCAGAAACTGATTTCTTTTCCCCAGCCCTCCTAGTCTCATAGGCTTTTTTTGAGGGCTTTTTATTTTGTATAGGGAGAGAAAGAGAAAAGAGGGGGGGTGGGACAGATTTCCTAGTGCAATACAACCAAAAAAAAATATTTTAAGTCTTGAAAAATAAACATAAAGCAGCCTTCTTCCCCAGGCAACTAAACAGAAAGAAGTTTGGTTTTGTTTACTGCGACATACACATGAAATCGAGTATACAGTCCATGCAGTAGCACAGCCATTGGAGAGGACTTCCTGATGCTGGCCCCAGTGCAAAACAGTCCCAGCAACGCCGCCTGCTTGCCATCGCTGCCGCCGCCACTGACACCTTCCCTGTGGCCACCTAGCCTGACTTGAAGAGGAGGATTGCAACTTGACCCAAGTAAAAATAGATGAAGTGCTTTGTCTCGTGTGTAACGTAGCTGCCAAAATTTCGGCCCACGATACAATGCCAGGTAGGATTATATTTCTTGTCAAATTCCTAAAAGAAGAATAAAAGGGAGAGAAGAAAGGTGATTAGGACCCTGGAGGATGAAAAATCAGAATGGGAATCTGATTAGTTATCACCCCCAGCCCACGGCCTCAGCTCCCCGAACCTCAGGAGCTCAGGTTCTAAGGCGGCTAGGACACTCCTTCCTTCATTAATAATGTAACACCACAAAGGCTCCATTATTGCTCTCTAGCACTTTACACCCTGATCATCTCTCCTCCCTCTAGCTACCCTATTCCATAGCCCACCATATGACTCTTAAGCAAGGGAATCAGAGAAGCCAGTGGAATAAAGAACCACTGCAGAGTCACACAGCCTAAGTAAAACAGAGGAGCAAGCTTTGCTGACTCGCCACCCACTGCCTCCCACGTTACTAAACCAACATTTCCAAATGCCAAAAACCAAGACACTAGAGCAAAATGGGGACCAAACATCAGGAGTACCATGAAACAGTTCTGTGGAAGTCAACATTAAAGGCATTCCTGTGTGCCAGGCAATGTGTGGGCTGCGAGCATCAGAACAAGGACTTCAGCCATGAGATCAAGGCAATTCCCTCATTTCTCTCAGGGGCACAAGTTAAGCATCAAAGCCTAGGAAATCCCTGTGACTTAATCAGACAGGCGCTCCCTGTCACCCTGTGGACGCAGCAAGAAACAGGCGGCTCAGTTCTAGATGCATCCTGACATAGTCGTGAAAGGGCAATAGCCCTCCACCACAGGCCCAAGCAATGCTGCCAGTCCTGGGGCTCTGTCTCCCAAGTGCTCAACATACAACTTGTCTGGCTTCCTCACAGCTCCCGTACCACAGGATTCCAAGACGTATTAGGGAACGGTGGAAAGGGCATGCATCACCAAACCCAGCTTTAATCCTAACTCAAGACTCTGTAAAATAGGAGAGCCATTTTGCCTATCAGCAAAACAAGAAAGCTGGAGCAGACATAATCTAAGAATTCCTCTGGTTCTGAGAGTCCATGATTCTGGAATCTCTCCCTAGACAGGACAGCAAGGCCAGCATTCAGCGAGGAGCAATGGGCACCCCCAGGAGCCTTGCTAGCTCTGCACCCCTTGGCTTCACACACAGAAAGTCTCTCAGGACTCCAGAGCTCCCTCTTCTCATCCCACTCATTCTGGTAGGAAAGCAGAATTCTGTAAAAATCTAAGATACCCTATCACCTCTATGGACCAGAATGACACTGCTCATAGGCAGTCTTCTTGGGATACCAGAGCTGAGAATACCAAAGACTGGGATTATGCCACAATGGACATGGATCCTGACTGGGAATCAGGGGCCCTGGGAAACAATTCTCTAGCTCAGCTGATTCCTCACCATGTTAACCATATCCATTCACCCATTCACTCAGGAATTTTTCAGGGACTAAACCCATGGCCCCAATATTGCTTATCCATTTTAAAAAATTATATATTCAAACCCACCCTTTTAAGAAGGTGGGGGAGAAGGGCATGACACAATACCTGAGCCCTTTCTAAAATAAAGAAAAGGATACCTCCTACATGGTGAAGATTATTACGGGGAGATCCCACTTTAAATGATGAAGTTCCTGGAAAATGTGTATATGATCTTATAGTATCCCTGATATTCATTTTGAATAGCTCTGAATTGGGCCAGTTATACTTAAACCTGAAGCTTTTCTCCTCAATCCCTTGCTATAATCATAACTGTAAACACACACACACACACACACACCCCATCCCCCCCCACCACCACCCTCAAGCAGAGTTCCTATTAAGAACTCCTAAGACAAATGCTTTGGCAATTAAGAATCACTCCCTAATTTGTCTGCTTTGCAAGTTCCTAAGGGTTGTTTTTTTTTGCATGGGATATACCTGCTTTCCTATGTCCCCAGCCTCCGCTGCCTAGCCCCACCCCTGGCCACCAGCTACAGCTTTCCCAGTTCACCTTCTTGATATAGGCAGCAATGTCCTTCTCTATGTTGTACTTCTCCATAGCCTGTGTGGCGCAGTCAACGGCATCCTGTTGCATGTCCTCAGACATGTCTGCGTTCTTGATCACTGCCTTCCGGTCAGACATCGTGACACTGCAGAAGAAGCAAAGAGGTGAGGCTGACAACCCCATGCTCTGAGCAATGAACATTAGCAACTGGATGTGGGCCTTAGTGAAAGAGGGGAGTACAGAAGGTGAGGGCAACAGAAAACACAGATAAGAGGCAATAGGAGAAGGCGCCCCTAAACTTTTAGCAGAGATGTGGTCCCCAAGCCTGGGAAATACAAGGTGAATAGTAACAGATATAATAAGCTATCAGTTTTTATCATATGTAAAGTCAGGTTTTTTCTAACTCTAAATTTATCTATTTTTGATATTTTGAATAGCATCAATAGCCAAGATACAATATATCACCTACTAGCTGTGTCTTTAGGAGAATTACCTAACTTTTGTGTTTTCATGCCATCACCTTAAAATGGGGACTGCAGTGTTATCCTGAAGGTAAACCAGGTGGCATAACACCTGAACCTAATAAGCCCTTGATTTAATGACCATTATTACATCATTGGTATCCTAGTGGAGGGATGACAGGCTAGGAATCAGCAGGCCTGACTTATGGTCCTATGAACTCTTGTGGTTTTGGACAAGTCATTTAGTCTTTCTCCATTTGATTATTTCCATTTTAGCAATGAGGATAGCTCTCTACCAGGGGTTGTTATAAGGATTAATTAAAATTATATGAGAACATCTGCAAACAAGGACAATCTATACAGGGGTCTGTCCCATTGGCTAGATTCAGCCGGCCACCGGTTTTTGTACAAGTTTTAGAGGAACATACTACAATGGCAGAGTTGAGTAGTTGCAAGAGACTATATGGCCTGTAAAGCCTAAAATATTTACTATCTGGCCCTTTACAGACGAAGGTTGCCAACCCATAGGCTACCAATGTCCAGTCGTGACTGAGACAACAAGAGGTAATTATTATTTTAATCTTTCGTATCTCTGCTATCTAAACCAAGGTATTCCTCCTACAGCAACCAGAGTTCTGGGGTAGACCTTGCATGGTTCCTTCCTAGGATGACAGAAATCCCAAGAGGGCTGGCCAGAACCTGCCTGGCAGTTTCTAGAATGTAAGGGTGCTTTGCAGGAATAGAGGCAATGAGCTGCAAAATCGTATCTTCTGTCCTTGACCACAGTCCTGTCACACAGAGCAACAACAATCCACCCCCTACCACGTCCCACCCCAAGCACCACTCTGTGGCCCAGCCAGTCAACAAAAGATGCTGTCATTCCAGCCCTGTCTGATACAAGGCTACATGGTTCTGCCTGCTCAAGGAGAGAGCTCTGTTATGGCTCCAGGCCACCCTGACTGGAGTCCATACTAGCCTTGGACTGGGTAGGCTGAAAGGGAAACAGAACTCATGTTTACTCCTTTAGCCTGTGCCAGATGCAAAAAATGCATGCATGCCAGCTGTCAGTTAGGCAGCCCTTGACCAAATCGAAAGCACCTTTGTCTGGCACTGTCAAACTAAGAAGGGCTGGTTCCACTTCAGCAAAGGCTGGCAGAGCAACACGTCAGTGGACCAGCACCCTCTGGCCTCACAACCCCTGAGAGGAAAAGTCAGAGCCTCAAGACGAGTCTATGAGCACTGCCTGGTGCTGAGGAAAGGTCAGGAGAACCCTGTTCAAGGCCTGACTAGCTATATGACCTTGGGCAAATCAACATCTTTTTAAAAACCCATGATTCTTAAGATAAATGAGGCAGCTTCGGTGAGTTTGGGCAAAGGTACAAGATCATCACAGGGAGAAATGTGCTAATATTATCAGGCTCCTTATACGTGAAACAACTAGTGTTACCTGGTGGCCTGTTCCAGCTCACCCCTCAGAAAGGGGAACTTTTTATAAATCCGAGGGTGGGGGTGGGACCAGTTACAGAGAAGTTCAAGTGTGAAATCAGCACCCGTTTTCCCAGCAAGCTCACCTGCTCCACGGCCTCATCCCCAAAGTCCCAGGGAACAACTTTATCACAGTAATTAAAAGCCACCTTACTCTCCAGGAGAGAGCCTGCAGTTACATAACATTGGTCTTGTGACTACAATGCCACGATTCTTCACCCCTGGCCCCCCAGGCGTCGGAGAGGTGAAGCCTAGCCCCGGTCTCCCCTGTCCAAGGTGCCGTGAGACAAGAATAGGGAGGTGCCCAGGCTAGCCCCTCCCTCCTGGGAAAAAGAGCAAGGAACCTGGGCCTCCAGAGAGAAGGATGACCAAAGGGCCCCCGGCCAGCTGCCTCAGTCACAAGCCAGGAGCTCTTTTGAAAAGCGAAAAAGGGTACCAAGGCAGCTCTCCAACCTCTATCCCCGGTTTTGGACAAAAAAAGGCTAAGGCCCCAATGACATGGACCGCCCTCCCCAGCCCTCAACACACACACACCCGTGTATTTCCTCCCTTCAGATCTCCGAAAAGGCCGTAGCCCTTCCACCATCCCATCCCCCAGAAGGCCAGCACCTGGGGAATGAGAAAGCATCCTCCTCCCCACCTCCGCCCCGGCCGGTTGGCCGCCCTCTCCCGAGCAGCGCTGGGGTGACTGGGCGTCCTCGCCGCAGAAAGGACACCCCAGAGGGTGGCGGTGGCGGCAGGAGGAGCCGCGTCACGCCCGAGCCCTCTCCACCCCACCCCCTCGGCCCCAAACACCACAGGCCTCCACGCAGCGCAGGGAGACTCCCCGGGGGAACAAGCGCCGCACCTGCGCAGCCCCGGGCTTCCAGCCGCGCCCCGGAGGTCGAGAGGGCACAGGGTGGCGCAGCTCCGAGGAGGGACGCCGGGGGCGTCACGCCGAAGCCAGCCCTGCTCCGGGCCCCGAGTGGCGCGAGGAGGCCGCAGGGGCACCGAGAGTAGGGCCGCACGCGACGGGCGCGGAGCCGCCGCCCCCGGGACGCCCCCCCCCCCACCGCTCACCTTCACGCAGGCGAGTCCGCGCGGGGCCCCGGGGGAACAGCGATGGCCAGAGGCAGGGCGCGGGCAGGGGCGGTGTCCCCTCGGCTCCTCCTGCAGCAGCCGCCGCCGCCGCGGTCTCCGGCTCCCGCAGCCCCGGGCCGAGCGCTCGCCGCCGCTGTCCGCCCTTCGAGCTTCCTCGGCCGCCCGCGCTCCCCCTCACGCCCGCCTGCCCGCCCGTCTGCTCCGCGAGAGCGCCTCGCAGCTCCGCTCTGCTCTGCCGCTGAGAGCGACCGACGCGCAGCGCCCCCTCTGAAATAGCGCCCCGCCCCCGCCCCCCCGCCGCGCGCGCCGCCGTCCGCGCTCCCCATTGGCTGTGCCCGCCAGGCCCCGCACTGCGGGCTTCTCCCCGCGCCGCTCTCGCCCCACATCTTGTTTCCTCCCATAATGCCTCGGGGCAGAGAGAGCGCGAGAGAGGGGGTGGGGAGGGGGAGTTGGAAAGGGTTGGGGGAGGGAGATGTGGCCTTAAGAAAAAAAGAAGAGGAATGCAGACCCTTCTACCCAGGGCTAGAGAGGCCCTGCCTAAAAAGGAATAAAGAGGTGAGGCTCAAAGAGAGGGAGAGAGGGAGGGGCTAAAGACCCCAATCCCAAAAAGAAGAAAGAAAGAGGGAGGGATGGAGATTTCAGACCCAAGGAGCTGATGGGGAAGAGGTAGAGATCCTAACATTAGGGAGAGGGAGGGGAAGGGGAAGTCATCTGACTCAGAGGAAAAGATAGGACCCCTTCTCGCCCCCCATATCTGTGGGAAGGAGAGGAACAGCCAGCCCTAAGGAAAGGTCCAAGTCAAACAGCCCCAGGACCCTTCCCTTCACTTTCTGGGAAGTTCCCTTCCCCATGCAGCTCAGCCTTTTCTCCTGAGTCTCTAGGCCGCAGGACCCGAACTCCCAGCCGGGGGCTCCAGCTGCTGTTTATCTTCAAGAGCAATGGAGGCAGACCCAAAGCACAATTGTGAGAAGAGAGGTTTGTCTTTGGTACACAGGCCCCTGTGAGAGCGAGCCGTTTCTGGTCAGTAGGTCCTTACCTGTCTAGTTAGACAGGACTGGAGGGGGAGTGAACAGAACCCCTAGAGGTGGGAACCCCAGCATGTCAGAGCTGTGAGGAGCCTTAAAACTCACCTCATCCATATTCCTCACCTTAGAAAGGAGAACCAAGGTATAGAGAGAGGGGAGAACCCTTGCCAAGTCACCACAGGTCAGGCCTAGCGGTGGCTTCTAGGCAGCAACCCCTCTGCTAGGTAGCTGAAGAGGCTGTGAGCATGTGTGTAAATGGATGTGCACATTGAGAGAGGGCCTGCCCTCCATCCCCACCCACCTCCAGAGAACAGGAAGCGTCTGTTTTTTCCTTTCCCTCTGTTTCACAAAGGAAGTGTCTACCTAAAGGAGTGGTGAAAGTCTTTATTGGGAGCCAAGCATTTGGGCCACACAGTGAGGATTAAGAAGCTCCCATTCCCATAGTTTTCCCTTCACTGCCCCAAACCATAGTCAGGAAGTCAGACATGCTCTGGCCCTGGCCTGCTCTGGCTTGGAAGATCATTATTTAGTGTTCGTTGTATGTCAGGGGAAACTTGGAAAATCATCCCCTCCCACTTCTGTTTTCCACAGCTCTCATCTCCCAACCCCAATCAGGATTTCAGAGAAACAGGCAAGGCCTGAGGTATCCCCCTCACACCAAGGATATTCTGATGTCAGCCTCTCTGTGAATGAATGGGGGGTGGGGCACATGTGGGGAAGGGAGGGAGGGAGGGAGGAGAAGGATGCTTTATCCTTTTAGGGCTTGTGGAGAGTTAACCTTATGGACTACTGGGAGAACTGGTACCCTCTTTCTCCAAATGATGATTAGCTTCCAGCCCCTTCTATGGCCTGAAGGTTGGAACCACCACGTATAGTTGTGCTGGTTGTTCATTGTACAATGGCATTCAGCCTTAGGAGCAAGTTGGGGCTAATATAGCCTGCACTCCACTTAGTAAGCTGTGTGCTCTGGTACAGGCCAGCGTCCACCCAAAAGATGCATGCCTTTTTGAAGCATGCATAAAGATGACTATGAACTAGTGGTGGTCCTTCCAAAGCCATGCAGCCAGGGTATATAAATCCTTCCTCTACCTGGTCCCCCTTCCCTAGAGTATAATAGGGCAAGAATTTGGTCATTTCTAGTCCTGGGCTGTGGTGGGGTGGAGGTAGGGACGCAGAGAACTTCAACTAACAGCAGTCAGAACCAAGACTTTTGACTTCTAAAAAATATGGATGTCAGTGTGTGTGTGTATGTGTGTGTGTGTGTGTGAGAGAGAGAGAGAGAGAGAAATGTGTGTGACAAGGACTAAACTCTAGGATATCAGGGAAACTCATCAATAACAGTATGGTTTATAAATAAGAGTTAATATTTGTAGAGCCCTCACTCTGTGCCAGGCTCTATCCTGAGTGTTTTAAATGTATGCATTATTGCATTTAATCTCTGAAACAATCACAGTGAGTATATTACTATTCCCCTGTACAGAGGAAACTGCCGCTTAGAGAAATTCAGTAGTTTGCCCGAGATACCCAGCTTGTCAGTGGCAGGATCCAACCCCAGGCTGTTTGCTGCCAGTATCTACACTCAGACACTCCACTCTCCAGTCTCCTAACAGAGAAAAGAAAAAAGTGTAAATCATGGGTTCAGCACTCCATCTAAACCATACCAGCATTTCCTAAGCTTATCTGACTCCAAAGCCCTTTTTTATCCAAACATTTATTAACATCTCCAGGAACTACTATTCCACAGGACACAGTTTGGGAAACTTGTGCTATACTAATTACTGCTATTTATGTAAAATGCTTAACTGTTTAGGATAATTACTATGCAACATAGTAACTGTTGTAATTAGTATGTCAGCTAACTAGGTACACGTTTTTCTTTGAGCCACTACATGTTCGTGATTGCCCAGTTTTCTGTTGCCCATATCTTCAGATTTAAAGATCTGAGGGGACTTTTCTTTTTTTTTTTTTAGCTGAGCCATCCTGCTACCTGTTGGCAGCTCAGTGGCTGCTCAGCTCGGGCTGGACTCGAACCGCTGTTGCTCAGAGCTCAAACTCTTGAGCGAGCTCTTAACCAACTGAGCCACTCAGCCGGCCCCGGAACTTTTCTTTTTGTCTCAATCTGTGGCCCCCTTACCCTCTGGCTACTTCTTTGACTTAAGGGTTCCCCAGGGTACTGTGCTTCAGTTACTGCTCAACTTGAGTAGTTTCATCCACATTTATGGCTTTTACCATGATCTTAGCCCTGTTAGCCCTCCTAAGTTCCAGACCTCTCCACTGTGGTTATTGCATAGATTCTTTAGACTATTCACATATGCACATATAAACCCTAGTCATTAAGACCATTGGCCATGGAGCCAGAATGCTTGGATTCTCACTGCTTTTCACCACTCTATCAGCTGTACAGATCTGGCCAAGCTATTCAACATCTCAAAGTTTCATTTTCCTCATCTATAAATCAAGAATAATAATATCCATTATACTTCATAGAGTTGTGAGAAAATGCATGAGACATTCTTGGCGCAGTGCCTGGTCTATATAAGTGATTAATAAATGTTAGCCATCATCAACATCTCTCTTCCAGACTTGTTTCCCTTCCCTGTATTTCTTATCTCAGTTCATGACCCCATTTTTCACCAAGGCACCAGGTTAGAAACCTGTGAGCTCCGCTGGATTTGTCTCTCCTTTACCCACCACATCTCCATCATCACTCACCTACTGGCTGTTCCTCCGGTTCATGTCTCCTTTCATTGTAGGTGCCTCATTCTCATTATGAATGCCCTGCATCAGGCACTTACCATGTCTTCCCGTTGATTCCCTGCTCCTTGTCTCCTCTTCTTCAAATCCACACCGCAGTGATTTATCTAAAATGCAAACATCCCAGACACCTCCTTCTGCGCTCNTTTTTGTTTGGAAACTCCACAGCTGCTTCACTGATAGCAGGAACAAAGGTGGATTTCTATCCGGCCTCTGGGGTCTAGCATGCCTCTAGGGGCCAGGCTGCTGGTGGCTTCAGGCCCAGCCAGAGGTCCCTCCCACCAACTCTTGCAGCACCCAGACCTGGGAACCTCCTAGAGGCCTCATCCTGCACCACCGCCCCAGGCCTCCCCCATAATCTCCTCTCCTTGTGCAAGATGCTGGCTGCCCAGACTGGAGGGACCCTTTCGATTACAGGATAAACAAACTGCCACTCTGGCCCAGCCCTCTGCTGGCTTGCTGTTCCCCGCCCACCTCGATCCGCAGTGCATAGTCGCTCTGTTCTCCTGCCAACTTGGCAGCTCATCTCTCTCGTCTCTGCTGTTACTATCAACACCTCTGAGGGAGAAGAGAGAGGAGTCAGCTCTGATCGCCTGGTGCACTGATCAGCAAATTCATGTCAGAGCCAGCCCTGGAATGTCTCCCAAGCTCCCAAGTCTCCTGGTGGGGAAGGAAAAGTGGGCCTGATCACAGCAGTCCTGATTGCAAACCAGCCTCCCAGCAGAGCAGCTGGGCCTGGGGCAAAGCTGCAGACCTCCCAGAAGCAGGCAGCTCTGATAGAAAGGGCTGCAGGAGGATACTTTGAGGCAAAGCAGACGCACAAAATTGGACTGCGGGGTCTGTCTCATCCCAGCCCTTGCCACTGTCCAGGGCAGTGTTGGTGGCTTTCATTCCTGAGATGGTTGGTCAAGGGTGGGGCAGGCTGTGGCCAGGGTTGAAGAAACAGGTATTTCTTCCTCCAGACTGTGAGCCCTGGAATGCATGGACTGTGCTGTTTTTTCTTCTTTCTTGGACTCTTCGTGTGCAAAGCTCTTGCCTCCTTGTCAAATTGGATCGGGAGCCCCTAAGCAACCACACTTTCCTCACTGAGTGGAAACGTCCCACAGATGGAAACCATCTTTTCCTTTTCCTAGCCCTCTTCCCTGCTTCTTGGGCTCTGCTCGTTGGCTCTATAAAGCAGCTGACACCCGTACCTGGCTCCTGTCAGGACTCCTGGGGCCCAGATGAGAAGAAGAGAGAACCCCTTTCTTCAGGGACCCAGTGCCCATCCTTGAGCAAGGGCTGCCCATAGCACAGAGTCTGTGGTCAGTCACCTACCCCTTGACAGGACCAAAGGTGGTCACTATGCAACTTCTCCCAGGTGGAATTGCCTTCCCAGCTTTCTCACTGCTTGTCAAGGGAATGCCTTCGGTCCTACGTGAGGCCTTTGGCATCAGCAAAAGTGGTGCTTCAGGGGAAGCTTCCTAATCCTTATA